GCTTGGCACGGCACGGCACGGCGTGGTGCGGCCGGAGCGCCAAAAGGCACAGATCTCATTGGCGCTATCTCCGGACGACGCCCTATAATCTGGGCCGCACTGTACGCCGGCGGCACGGCGGCGAGCCCGCAGACTGATTCCGAGAGTCGTTTTCGTCGCTCTGTCCCTCGCGCACCAACACGGGATGCCCCACGAGTGCGACAGAGACAGAGCGACGAGAACGGACTCTCGGAATCAGTCTGCCGGCCCGGATTCCTCCCTTCTGCCCTATTACGGCTAGGACCTGCTCAGCACGCCGCGGCACCTGGCAAGGAGGCGGGGTGGGGCGGGGCGGGGCGGGGCGGGGCGGGGCGGGGCGGTACCCGCCGGTTTGAACACAGCCTCCCGGGGCGGGGCGCATCCAATATCACCCCACCCACCCCAAGCCGCCCTACCCTAATAAAGTGCGCGGCTTGCAGTGGCCACGGCAGCGCGACTGGTCGCCTTTATCAGAACCGATGCCGGACGAGATGGCCGGCCGGGCTGCAGCAGGGCGAGCTGCAGCTTCATAATGACCGCCCCCTCCCTCCCCATTTGCGTGTCCGCCGCTAAGCCGCGCGTCGCAGGTTCAAACACCGGCGGCGGCGGCGGTTCCGTGGTGGTGCTCTTTTTTTCCTCCCTCCTTTAGTTTCTAGCCGCCCGGGCTTCCCCTCCATCAATTAGGACGTCTGCGGGGCGGGGTGGGGTGGGGCGGGGTGGTGTGAGGCGAGGTGGCCGCCCCGACGCGCCAAATCGTCGACGTCTAGGTGCGGAAAGGAACTTGGTGGGTTCGTCTAAGGAAGCCGAAAATATAATCTCTCTCTTGGCTTTCGTTCGTGCCGCTGCTGATGCTGATACTGAAATTCTCGGCCTTGACTCTAGAACTTTAAATACTGTTTCAAATCGGAATGCTCATTTCATCACCTTCTGGCAAAGGGAGCGCTAAAACGGGTGAAAGAGTCCATCAGAACGGGTCGCGGTAGGTGGGCGTCCCCTTTGGTGAAGGCCACATCAGCGATGCCCCGGTACAAAATAGACCCTTCTGAAAAATGGTAGCATTTGTCATAACAATGGACGCTGACGAGTTAGTGGTGGTAGCAGTGTCAGGAGGTGCACTCCCCTCCCCTCCCCTCCCCGGACTACAGTGCCGTCCGTCTGGGCATTGTGTTGTCTGGCGACGCACTATGGCTCCATTCAAATAACCTCCCCCCCGGCAGCACACTTATTCGGCAGAAAGACAAAAGAACAAAGTGGCGCGCTGGGGAGCCGTCCCGACCGTCCCGGGCGTCGCGGCCCGTCCGTCGCATCGGCCGCGTCTCCGCGTCGCCAGCCTGGAACAACAGGGCCACCGTCGTCTCGTTGTCTCGGACCGTCGAGGCCGCCGGAACAGAGGCGGCCTGGCCCAAAAATAATAATAATAACAATAATAATTCTTTTCAAAGCCGCCATCCCCCTCCCCCTTTTGCGACCGGCTGCCGAGGAGGGCAAGTTCCCCCTCTTCGTCGGGTACACCCTTGAGTGGAAAACACCCCGGAAGGTGATTGTTTTGTGAAAAGCACTCCGGGCGATTAGGAGAGAGGAGTCAGTGTTCCGTTGCACTGCCATAGTACACCGCCTCCACCGCCTCCAGCGCCTCCAGCCTCAACGACTGCCACCGATCAACTTTCAGACAAACACCGCGCAGCCTTAATTAGTTCCTCCAGGGGCTCTGTGGTGTGTGCGTGTGTGTGTGTGAGAGAGAGAGAGAAAGAGAGAGAGAAGGGCAGAGAGTTACGCCGAGAGGGATAGCGAGCGTGCGACGAATCTATAAGCCTTTCAATCTGTGCATTGGATGAATGGCCCCCGAGCCTCGACCCCTTGTCACTACATGAACGTTGGTCCTCACCCGCCAAGGCTGGCGGTGGTGGTTGTGGTGTAGTGGTGGTGTTGGTGGTGGTAGTGGTGGTGGTGGTGGTAGTGGTGGTGGTGGTGGTAGTGGTGGTGGTGGTAGTGGTGGTGGTGATGCAGCCGGCCCACCCCGTCTGTTGGTGCTATCGCCGTTATTTATCTAATGCGGAGCAAATCCACGCGCATCAGGGAGACGTGGTGGAATGGACAGCTGGGCAAACGCCAGCCAAGCCATAACCATGGCTGAGCGATGCGTCTGGTGTGCGTGCGTGTGTGTGTGTGTGTGTGTGTTTGCGTGTATGTGCGCGTGTGTGTGTGTGTGTGTGTGTGTGTTGTGCTCGTATGTGTGTGTGTGAGTGTGACACAGGGTGCGCCGCATGGTGCGGGAGGGTCAAGTAGTCGCTATCGCGCGCAGTGTAGTCTACATACACATTGGTATTCCTTTCCGGCTGGACCAGTCTGGCCGTAATTTCCCCAGCAGGGCAGGGCTGCTGCAAGGCAGGGCTGCTGCAGTGCAGGCCCTCCGCCACAGCAGCCTTACACATACTGGTGGCAGACGTACACTGTCCACTGTCAAAGGCGTCGACCCGGTCGTTTGGATCGCTATACATGGGACAAACCACGATCGGAGCTGTGGTAAGGGCGTGCCGCCGCAAGCCATAATCAAGCTGCGATCGTCTGGGCTGCGTGTGTTTTGCTATGTCTGTGCGATGTGTCCGTGCCAAAAGGTGACTGCATGGTCCGTGTGGTGTCCGCCAGAGAGGTTAGGCATGACCACGACGGAGACTAAGTTTTTGAGTGTCTGTGCTATCTTGTCGGTGCCCGCCGGCAATGTTACGCTTGAGATCACGCGAATGATTACTGACAGCCCACTGGACTGTAATGTTCCATTTCACAGTTAATACGACATTCAAAAGTCGGTGGCTGGAGGGTGACGCATCCGTTCGTAGTGGCTGCTCGGAACGGACGACGCCACCGAAATAACCATGCGTCGCCGACAGGGCCGTCAGAACAGTTTCGAGGTGTGCTGTTCTTGTAATGTTCTCGTTTTGGCGCCCAGACGTCACCGAATCGGCGAATCTTTTTTTACTGTGCGCGGTAATGCAATTGTTTTTGTTTTGTTTTTGTCGGTGACTCCCGAGTCCCTACAGCGTAACTCGCCACGCTGCTCGTGTTACTGGGAGGGGTGAGACCGCGTCGACCAGCGTCTCTACTCTGTGATGGAACATGTGTCGATAAGGGCTGGCCGTCTCCGCGGACCCCGCCGCGGTCCTGCCCGTCTCGGGTCGTCGTCTTAACCCGCCCTACCTCGGCCCGGCCTGACCCTTGGCCCGCCTCGGCCCGACACTGACAGCGGCAGAGCCGGCAGAGCGATTGCGGATCCGCAGTCCTTGGAAAGTTTAATCCCCGGAACCGTGGTCCGCCCTGTCGCCCCGTATCGCAGATGGTCCTTCCCTTCCGCCGGTGATCCGTCTGTCGCTGGACTGCCGAAGGGCGACGGACGACGACTCGGCTGATTCCGAGAGTCGCTTCCGTCGCTCTGTCTCTGTCGCATCTGTACGCGACGCCCCATGAGTGCGAGAGAGACAGAGCGACGAAACGAGCCTGGGGATGCTCTGCGTCTGACAGGTGGAAGGGGTGGCCGAGTGGCTGGCCGATAACTTGGCCGTGTTTGTTTGCCTCGACATGCCCGCCATCGCCAGCCATCACCTCGGCCAGCAAGCTGATTCCGAGCGGCAGCTGTTCCGCCGCTTTGTCTCTCTCGCACCGATACGGGTCGCGCCACGAGTGCGAGAGAGACAGAGAGGAATCCGTCGGCCGGTTTATCGGGCCGCGGGGAGCGCTCGCCTCGCCTTCCCCGTGTAGTCCAAATAGTGCAAGCTCGCCACGCCGGCTGGCTGCGCTGGCTGCGCTGGCCGCCAGCCTGCCGCGCGTTCAACAGGTTTCGAAAGTGATCCGTCTTACCGAAAACTGAATTATTCATAAGCGGTGGCCGAGTCGATGAACGGAGGTGGCCGGTGCGGCAAGGCCGCGGGCTTTGCGAGTGAAATACGACCCCAGTGACGTCTCCACTGCGCGCTGCAACCTAACCTGACTAAACCCAACGAAACCAGTGGCCTCCGGGCCGCCGGGACATCTTACCTATAAACTGCGGCCTCGTCGAGTTTATCGCACGCCGAATTCACCTCGCCGTATTTTCCTATTTTTCGCACCATCGGGTGTCGATACCAAAAGCTTCTGCAACGGGCAACGGGGGAGGGCGAGGCGCGACCATCAATATTCATGGCCACCACCGCGAGATCGAGAGAGAGAGAGAGAGAGAGAGAGAGAGAGAGAGAGAGAGAGAGAGAGAGAGAGAGAGAGAGGCTCGGAGAGAGGCGTGAGCAAAGGGGACAATGGCAAACGAACCGCATCTCTGAAAACGCGACCCGTCCCTCTTCGGGCGCAGGGCCCCCGCAGCCCCCGCCGTGCCAAGCAGGACGCACGGCCCGCCACGCCAGCACGAATACAAAACGCACCGCCGCTCCGCCGCGACCTCCATTTTCCCTTCCCTGCGCTTCCCTGCAGTCGTTGCCGTCTGTCTCTGTCGCACTGGAAGGGCGTCCCGTGTAGGTGCGAGAGAGACAGAGCGAATCAGTCCGCTGCATACCTTGGGCTGCTGAAGCGGCAGGCCATGGCCAGGCCGCGGTCGCCGGCCCCATTTTTCGCTGTGCTAATTTGCATGGACGGCGCTGGCGCTCTTCGAGTCTTCGCTCGTGTTTCCCGGAGTGCCCGGCTGGCAGGCGGACGGGCAGGCAGGCAGGCAGGCAGGCAGGCAGGCTGGCAGGCGGACGGGCAGGCAGGCAGGCAGGCAGGCAGGCAGGCTGGCGGACGGGCAGGCAGGCAGGCAGGCAGGCAGGCTGGCAGGCGGACGGGCAGGCAGGCAGGCAGGCAGGCTGGCTGGCAGGCCCCGCTGGCGCCGCGCTGCTGCACCCCGCCGAGTAACTCGACACTGACGATGCGCTCCACCGCTGTTGTTGCAGGTCCGCCATATCTTGGCCATGTCGCCGCCTCGGACGTAACGCGGCCTGGCCAGCACGGCCAGCACGGCCACCATGACGACCATGTTGGTGACCACCATGTCCAGCATCCTGGCGGGGCCGGACATGATGGGGCACGACTACATGAACAGCAGTGACCAGAACATGACGCACCCCAACATGTCCATGTGCTCCGCGGACGTACCGCCCACTGCCGTGCGGGTCGCGCTCATCCGCTTCACCATGGTGAGTGCACTGTTTCTGGCCGAACGCAAGTCCTCGCTTGTGCAAGCGCATTCTAAATTGTGGCTCTTGTTCCAGGCCATGTACGCCATGGTTTGTGTGGTGGGACTGCTGGGAAACACCTTGGTCATTTACGTGGTGCTGCGCTTCTCCAAGATGCAGACCGTCACCAACATGTACATCGTGAACCTGGCCGTGGCGGACGAGTGCTTCCTCATCGGCATACCGGTGCTCTTCACCACCATGCTGCTGGAGAGATGGCCCTTCGGCGAGAGCATGTGCAAGGTGTACATGACGACCACGTCCATCAACCAGATCACCAGCTCCATCTTCCTGACCATCATGAGCGCTGACCGGTACGTGGCCGTGTGCCACCCCATCTCCTCGCCGCGGATACGGACGCCCTTCATCTCCAAGGTGGTGTCGCTGACGGCGTGGACGGCGTCGGCGCTGCTCATGGTGCCCGTGTTCATGTACGCCAACACGATGGTGCGCGACGAGGCCAGCAGCTGCAACATCCTGTGGCCCGAGTCGGAGAACGTGAGCGGCCAGACGGCTTTCACGCTGTACTCGTTCATCCTGGGCTTCGCCATCCCCCTGGTGCTCATCTTCGTCTTCTACATCCTCGTGATACGCAAGCTCAAGACGGTCGGCCCCAAGAACAAGTCCAAGGAGAAGAAGAAGACCCACCGCAAGGTAACCAAGATGGTGCTGATCGTCATCACAGTGTACGTGCTGTGCTGGCTGCCGTACTGGATCATGCAGGTGGCGCTCATCTTCACGCCGTCCAACCAGTGCCAGACCAGCTTCACCGTCACCGTGTTCCTCTTCACGGGCTGCCTCAGCTACTCCAACTCGGCCATGAACCCCATCCTGTACGCCTTCCTCAGCGACAACTTCAAGAAGAGCTTCATGAAGGCGTGTACGTGCGCCGCGGGCAAGGACGTCAACGCCCAGCTGCAGATGGAGAACTCAGTGTACCCGCGCGGGCGCGCGAAAGACGCCAACAAGAACATCGGCAACGCGCTCAAGAACGCCAAGAACAACACGGCGGGCCTGCTGCACGGCCCCGACGACGAGGACGGCGAGGTGGGGCCGCTGGTGAGCCGGGCGGACCACTCCACCACGGCCATCACCATGACGTCGCGCTCCAACGTGAGCAGCGAGGTGACCAACTCGACCACCGTCAAGAACGGCACCCGGGCCTCCTCCCTGCAGCCCACGCAGCTCTAGGGCACTGCCCAGGGCCGCCAGCTGCTGGTCACCCACCTGTGAGTGAGAGGCTCACAGTGTAGCGACCGCCGCGGCGACCCTGCGGCCGGCCGGCCTGCCTGCCTGGCCTGCCCGTCGAGGCGACCCTGCCCTGCCCTGCCCGTCGAGAGGCTCCGCTCCGCGTCGAGGCCGGCCCCACCTCGAGGCGGACCCGGACGGACTCCGCCAACGTGCCAATCTGTGTGCCTATGTGTGTCTGACGTCGTGAGTGTGAGCGTGTGTGGGTGTGTGGACGCAGCGGGATACTTTTGCGGTTATTGCTTGGAGCCCAGAGTCCCGGCAGCTGCCCGCGCGAATGGGTTTCACCGAACATAAAACATTCCGACTTTGTTTCGAAGCCGTTAGCGAGGCTACTTAGTTCTGGAACTGGACGTATTATTTTATAAATTTTACCTAAGTGAATCCTGTGGTAGTAAGACTTGTTAAGTTGTAATTTATATTAAATCCAAAGATATTTTATTGCCCTCATTCAAATCTTTAAAAAATGAATATTTGTGTGTTTAGTGTGCTAAAGTATGCATACATGTTAAGTCCTAAGTGTTTAGAGACTACGTCTTAATTTTAGGTGTATTGACGGTGGTCTTCGATTTAGTGAGTGAAAGAAAAATGACTGTTTGACCCTGTTCGTTGGATTTCAAATGATGTTGTACTAAACTGACCATATCAAAGGTTATGGATGTCGAGACGCGAAGTGTTTTGTCGTGATAGATTTAAGAACAGCCGCTTGTCTAGGTCTCCACGTCGTCAATTTCTTTAATCTTGATTTTGTGTTTGGCGTTCATATCAAGGTTTGAACGCACTTTTGTTATTAACTTATGTCTAGTCGAAGGTTTGGCCTCTTTCCTTGCGCACGTGTGCGCTGGACATTGTTTGTCATTAGCTAGTCTCTAGCTGCAGAGATCGGAGTGTCCTATGTTTTGTTATTTCTCATAATTGTACCACAATGATTTGATAGTCACAAGGGGTTTTATGGGTACCCACAATAGAAACCAAATGGATCCTAGTCTCAGATGTTTGCATGCAGTAGGATAACATGTTGCGTGTCGTTACGCTTATTTAGCTGTTGCGAATTTTGTGACAAGTCGGTGTTATGGGCCTTTTTTGAGTAGTTCAAGACAAATACCGTAAAGTGAAATAAAATGACTTAAGGTGCACGTAGCGAAAGATTTTTTGGCAGTTGAGAGTTTTTGCCTCGCCGGTCAAATGACCGTTCCGTGTTTTTATTTTGACAGACCTACTCGAGTTTTGCCTTGTACTCTAGGATGCAATTAATGTCATATCCCTTCTCTGTCTCTTGTGAATATCTGTCGACGATGTGCTACTTTGTCTTTCAAAATAAATACTAAGCATGACCAGATGAAGATGAACGTGTTATTTTTTTAACGTTCGCCCCGGTAACCCAATTTGGAACTTTGGCGGCGATGGACCAAACAAGCGTGACATTATCTGACAAGGAGTAAGCAGTCTCATCTGGCGGGCGTCCGATGGACAAGAGCGCGCTGCCATCATGGCTCCGCCCTCCGCGCTGCCCAACATCACCGTCATCCCGGGGGAAAAGTTTCATTCGATTAGACGGTGAACGATGTCTTGTCGGGGGCGGCACGGCTGCACCTTGCCCCGAGTACCCCATCGATCACCGACGGCAGACCGGGCCAGGGCGGGGCCCCTAGATTGAACCGCTGCAAATAAATAAATCAGACGCGGCGCGTCTGCCAAAATATTGAACGGCGCCGGTTCGTCATCGTTTGGCAAGCGGGAAGGTGACGGCGCGCGGTGCCAGCGGCGGCTGCCAAAAGGATAAATTGAAAACACTGAAGGTGCCTCCATGCCGGCGGCGCGCCAGCCGCGGCGGCCGCCAGGGCCAGCAGGGCGAGATTAAGACGCCGGAGGTCTCGGTGAATTGGATATGCATTCGGATTGGCTGCAGCGCGCGCCGCCGCGCCGCCACCGCGGCAGAGGCGCGGGGAATAGCAATGAGCGAGGGCAGCGGGCCCGTTGACCCAGGCTCTGTCTCTCTCGCACTCTGCGGAACGTCCCGCGAGTGGGAGAGAGACAGAGCGACGCGGCACTGCTCGCTGGCCGGCGCACGCCGGCTCAGGACCAGTCAGGACAGCTCGGACACGTTCGACGCTCTGAACTCGAATTAAGACTCAAACTGAGCACGAGGTGGTACCACTAGACTCCTCGGTCACAGTTATTTGCTTGTTAGCTTCTAGGCTCTGGAGCACTCAGTGTCCCCCACTCCGGCCTTCTGCGGAGTAATGCTGGCCGGGATGTCACCTTGACGCAAAACGGCGCCATGATGATTCGGGTCGCGTCCCGTCACGTCGCGGGCCGGCGCTTTGTTTGCGGGGTTAATGTGCAGCCTGCCGCCGCTGCAGCCCCGCAGTGCCCCGCAGTGCCCCGCAGTCGGACGGACGGACGGCTTGTTGACAACGTTGACGGCGTCGTTCCGGGCCGCGCCTCGTGGAGCCTCGTGGCTGCCCGGCCGCGCCACCACGCCGCCATGCAGACCTTTACGCGCCGCCGATTTCCGCATCATCTGCTGCAACAATGTCGCACTGGTCCGGCTGCGCTCATAAATACGTCCACACGCTGTCGCAAAGCCCTGCACGGCGCGGCTCGGCTCGACACGGAAGTGTATAGATTAATTCGCGTGCAGGACTCGTGTCAACGCGGTGCAATGAGGCAGACACGGCGGGGAAAACAAAAGGTGGGTGATCTGGAACCAATGGCGCACCGCGCGTGGTCGGGGACGGTTTGTCATGTTGTGCAGTGCAAACATGGCAGTCACCGGGCATAGGATCTTATTTGTGGTCTAGCCGCTGAAGTCAAGAGAGCGCCCGGCAAGGCGAGGTAGGCCGGCCCGCCGAACAGATCAGCGCGCCGGATTGCCTATCGCGCCCTCGGCGGGCGCTCTTCCGTCATGTCAGCGAGCAGCGCGCCCCGCTCCTAACTATCCAACACAAACTGGGAGTTCTTTGCCCTTTCCCCGGCTTGCGCCAGGCTCGTTAATTTTAACGACAGGTTGGGAAGGCCGGGGGAGTTTCCGCCCCGCATTACCGTGGCGGGGATATGGGGCCACGACCGGGGCCCGGCGGCACGGCGGCAAGGAGGCACGGCCCGGGGCGCGGCAACGTCGACGGGGTTGTCAAAAAGCAGCCACGCGCTCCTCCGAGCAGTACCGCGCCGCCCGGGCCCGGCGAATCGGACGAGGACCAACTTGAGTCATCATCTACCAATGGCCCGCCCACCCGGGCCGCCGCCGGCCCGCCGGGGCAGCCAACATTACTTGCCAATAGTTTCCCTAATCACTCGAGCTGTCGGGGCGATGCGGTCCGACGTGCCCTGGCCTCCCTCTCGCCGTCCATCACAGAAAGCTCGCGTCACGACGGACGCAGAGGCACGCACTCCCGAGATGGCTTTCTCACGTTTGGATAACCTTATTCCACGGTATCAAAGCTTGAGCAAAATAGAGAGGTCTCATCCGAACTTTCTTCCTCAATTAACAACTAAAGCGAAGCTTGATCTTGCCCTGAGCAGTGGCGTAGCATCCAACTGAGTTTTTTTTGCCCTCTGCGTCGCGTTTTTTTCTTGTTGTTGGGCAAGACGCCGTCATAACTCAACCGCGTTTGGAAAAGAGTACTGTACCCCCTCTGGGGCGTCCGGTATCCCGGAGTGTGAGAGCATCTGGGTGCCTCTGGGTATTCGCCAGGCTCGCAACGCAGAGGCAGAAAACAGCCTCAACGCGCTGGGCTGTGGCGTCCGACGGCTGCCCCGGAGAGCAAGGACTTGTCAGTCCAAGGAGGTGCCCAGCAGACCCGGGGAGTCATTTTAGTCGCTCTGTCTCTCTCGCACCTAAGGTGTGCCCGATGAGTGCGAGAGAGGCGGAGCGACGAAGACACTATCGGAATCAGTCTCCAGCACACAGCGAGAGGGAAACACAAGCCAACTTCCTGTTTATTTCCCTAATGCTCTTCCCCATCAACGACGACCTGAACGTGAACGCGCTCAGACGGATGTCGGCGACTCCCCGTCGGCGTCGCTTCAACGCGCGTGGGACAAAGTTCGCAGTGTGTCCCCCTAGTCTGTCTAACAGCAGCAGGCGTCTCGGGCACGAGGTCGCTCGTTTAGCGACGAGAGGTCTCTCTGCACTTGACGCACTACTAGAGGACTAGAGCAGATGTGTGGAAATGAGACCGAGCGTCCCGGGGGAGCAGGTGGCGCGCTCGTGTGTCCGCACTCACACCCCAGAGAGAGAGAGAGAGAGAGAGAGAGAGAGAGAGAGAAGAGAGAGAGAGAGAGAGAGAGGAGAGAGACAGTCAGACACACACACCCCTCTTCCATTCACGCTACGATAGCTCTCTTCCGGAAATCCACTCTCGAGCAGTCAGCTGCGTCAACAAGGTTTCCATTGCTGTGGCCCGAGCTGTGCCGCGCTGCCAGGGCTGCATTATTGATAGGCTTTCTGCTCGGTGGCTCCGCCACGGCACTGCCACGGCACGCCACGCCCGACAGCACCGCGTCGAACACGGGTAAGCAGGGTTCGCACACCGCAGCACTGGCGCGGCATTTAGTGGATTGTGGACTGCGCGGGATTGTCGGCGCGGTGACGGCCTCCGGGGCCTCGGCCCGCCCCGCCCCGCCCCGCCCCGCCCCTGCCGTCGTGATGACAGAGCCATCAGCAGGGGGTGGCCGGAATCGGGACCCGAGCACCAGCACGGCTTAGTTCGACGCGCACGTGTGTGAGCCCCGCGCCGCCCCGCGCCCCGCCGAGCCCCATGCGCCCCACGGCGAGCGTCGGCTCGGCTCAGACGGCCGCCCCGGCTGAGCTCGGCCCCGCCCCGCCCGGCCTGGCTCGGCTCAGCCAGACCTGAGTGCGGTAAGGCGTGATGGTTGGCCTGTAATTAGCTCCGAGGCGCACGGCGGGGCGCGGCCGGCGCACCCTCATGTGTGGGAGAGAGTGGGAGAGAGAGCGAGAGGGAGAGGGGGGAGCGTGTGTAGGTATGAGAGAGAGAGAGAGAGAGAGAGAGAGAGAGAGAGAGAGAGAGAGAGAGAGAGAGAGAGCGTATGTCGCTTGGTAGCGGTGCTTGGCAACACGGCTTTCCCCCGAAAAGCCTCCCCGGAACGCCCGGCCGAAAAGAATATTGCCCGGCAGTAAATTAAGGTTGCTTGCTTGGCAACGGCTTCGCGGCTTCGCACACGTCCCCGAGCGCCGCATTTGGTCGCATGCGCCCCACCCGGCCCCACCCCACTCGCCAGGGGTAATTAAAAGCAAGTTTGTCAGAAGGCTGATTCCGAACAGTGCCGTCCCGTCGCTGTCGCTGCCGCTCTCATTTCGCAGATCCGCAGATGCGCGAGGGGCAGAGGCGCCGCTCGGGATCAGACTGCCGGCCTGCTGCAGCATGCGCCGCTTGCAGCGTCCCCAGCTGGCCTGGCTTGCCAAGTTTGAAGTTTGGACGCGTCTTCCGGTCGAGGCCGAGGCCGAGGCGGCAGCAAGGGCAGAGGCTGTGGTGACGGCCAGAGGCGAGAGCAGCTCCCATCAAAGCGTGGAGGCAGCAGGCAGCCCTATACGCAGTGGTGTGGACGTATAAGGGGGCGGCATGAAACTGCCTCTCTGCGTCGTTGACGAGGAGGGACCTCCCACGACGACGAGGCCCCACCTAGCCGGCTACGACGGCCAATCTGGTTCTGATTGGCGGCAAAACACACACACGCACACACACACACATTCTTCGCATTACCCTCCTAACAACACGTTATTCCGCCACCCCGCACTCTTCACGCACTGAAAGACGACGACGACAAGTCGACACTTTTTCGAGGAACCGAAAACCATTGCGCGTGTCGTTGACGTTGTGCGAGCGAGTTGGAGGCCGTCGGCGTGCGTATCCGACTGCCAAAAGTTGCACCGGCAGCTGGCCACTCAGCCAGCCGGCCAGCTTCGAGTCCAACTCTCAGTCCAGCTTCGAGTCCAGCTTCGAGTCCACCGCGCCGCACCATGGCGGCGCAGAAAGGCAGAGCGGCACGCCCGCCGAGTTTCTCATCTTTTAATTACCGAGTTCTGCCTTGTGCCTCGCGCCCCGCCATTAGTCACCAGGCCCTGGGGTGGCCCTGGTCGGCCCTGCCCTGGGTCTGCCCTGGGTCTGCCCTGGGTCTGCCCTGGGTATGCGCCACGAGGGCATCACGCGGGCTGCATTGCGCCTCGACCTCGTGGCGGAAGAAGAAGAAGAAGAAGAAGAAGAAGAAGAAGAAGAAGAAGAAGAAGAAGAAGAAGAAGAAGAAGAGCCTCTGGTTCAATAAGGTTGAATCAACCCGACCTAACCTACCCTAACCTAAGCCAACCTAAACTCTTCTACCC